GTTTGTTTGGTGCTCTCTTAGGAGGGCAAGTGGTGTTGATTCTCCCTTGGCGTGGAAGTACAGCCTACAAAGTGCAACCCAGAAATGATCAGCAGTTTACATGGCTGTTCTGCAGTGCATAGATTCTTTGCATAATAAGCTGTTGCTTTTTCTTTGAATACGAGTTGCTATAATATTATCTATGGGATATGACGTGCTCTCGAGGTCTATATCCACCCTTGACTAACCCTAATGCATTTTGTATATATTCAAGAGTACCAATTATTCTTCAACCTGCGACCCCCTCCGGTAGGATACATAGATGATATAAAATCCGAAATAGTTTTCGGCCCCAATAGAATGTCATACAGCCCTCATACAGCCAACCTTATCTCAGCCAGATGGAACTGGTGGAGCAGTGGGTTTGCTCCGTCTTCTCCGTCATATCACATAGCCTAAATTAAGCTAGGAGGGGCACTGGGTCAGGCTCCATATGATGCTGCCGGATCGATCCATATTTTATGGAGCCAGATCTATGCTGTGCTTTCTGGTATGCAGGGGGCGAATGCTTACATTCCTGCCGGTGGGTTCGTCTTGGGCCCTCACTACTATTTACAGTTAGAAGTCTCTGTATGAAGACGGAGATATTTCGTCTTACATACGTTTGAATTGAGTGTGCAAGGCTCTTGAGTTGATGGTATCCATCTGCTAGTACTCGAAGATTGAAGGTATAAAACAAGAACGCACAAAAGGAATACTTTTCGAAATGTGACGGCCCTCCAAGAGGTGGCTATAACTAAGCTGTTGTATAATATTAAGTTACGTAGTACCAAATCGTAGATCACAAACTAATACCATGACTCCTCGACGAACTCGGAGATCTAGATAGGATTATCCGGATCATCCGTCTTGGACAAAGCAGTGGCCTCGGTCTCTCGGAGCTCAGGTTCAATGCCCTCACTAACGACCGGATCCTGCTCAATCGTATGAATAGCATGCTCGACATTGACCACAGGGCCTTTGAACCACCGATGGGCATCAACAACCCACCAGATCGTAACCGCCAACATCGGCGCACCCCAAACAAGACAAGTCCAATTCATCAGATCAGGCGTCAAGTTTTTACCTGTAACACTAGGCAAACACAAAATTGGTACCATAAAAAGCACAAACACAACACCAGCGCCACCGATATACGGGCCAAAGGGACCCAGATGCCAGGGGCCCCTGCGGAACCGATCACCGACAAAGAACACGCGAATAGAGATAGGAATAGCGAAAGCGAAGAACTGCGCAATGGCACCAATAGAGAACAAAGCGCCAATCGCCACGTCCCCAGCCAGAATAAGAAGACACATCAAGATACCGAGAACGGCATTAAGCACAACCGCATTAACCGGCGTCTGCGTATACGGGTGCACCTGCTTCCAGTAATTCGAGAACGGAAAGCAGTCGTCACGAGCGTATGCATACGTAACCCGCGACGCAGCAACCATACACCCCTGACCCATGGAAAACCCACAGACAATCGTCAAAGCCAAGATAGCCATAGCCGTCTTTTGCGGCATGACCTGCAGCAAATACGACGCCCAGGGCTGTCCAAGATCGGAATCAAGAACGGCCTCGATATCCAATACCGTGTATGCAACAACTAGTTGTAGGAACCAGCCCATTAACCCGCCCACGCCAGAGGTGAGCATGATTGCGCGCGGCGAGGCAATGTTCGCGTTTGAGCACTCCTCGCTCAAATGGAACGGCGAGTCGTAGCCGGACATCGTCCAGATCACGCCGACGAAGGTCATTAGTACGGCGACCCCGTCTGGGAAGTCGGTTAGGTTTGTTATCTCGCCCCAGACTTGTTTGGAAGGGGTGAATTTCGGGCTATTTTTTGTATTGGCGGGGATTATGATGAGGACTGCGATCAGGGCGATGAAGTTGAATGTTGAGCCCCATGAGTTGAACTGCGCTACGCGCTTCGTGGGCATGCTGCTGATTCCAGCGTGCAGGATCATGATGAGGGTCGTCAGCAGGAAGGTCTGCCATGCTGTCGGGGTGTAGTCTGGGTTGTAGATTGAGACTGCTGCGAGGATCATTGCGCTGAGCGAGAAGTTGACTGATGGAGCTGCGGTTATCTGTCCAATCCAGTTGGACCAGCCGGTGATCCAGGCGGCGAAGGGTCCGTAGCCCGGAGGTGCGAGCACTGCTGCGGCGTAGTATAGTCCACCGCTGTATAACACATTAGCCTTGCCTGAACACTAACTTCTCGGATGTGATATCGGGCAGTGTATCATACCTAGTCGGCATTGCTGAACATAGCTCCGCCATCGACATTGCAATGCACTGGATAAACATCATCGCAATGATCCAACCCCAGACCATACCCGCTGTTCCGGCATATCCCATTCCTTTAATCCAATCAATGTCAGCTATACCCTATACCGAATCGTATAATCACGGATCTGTGAGTACTTACCATACCATAGGGTACTCGCAAACGAGGGTAGCAACCCTAGAACAGCAAAGCTGACACAGAAAGTCGTCCATAGCGAGAACTCGCGCTTGAACTCTTGCTTGTAACCCAGCGCTGTGATCACTCTCTCGTCGTCATCCATATCATGATCCGTATAGGGCACATCGCCATCCGGGAGCACGGAAGTGACTTGGGCACTGCTAGCCTCATGATGTCCTTTGGGGATGTCCGAAACGGCAATCTTGGTCTCCATGTGTGCGCCCATGGCCAAGATAAACAGGTGTGTCGCTATTAATGTATGCGATATATATATCAACAATATAAAATGGCAACCATGCAAGGGGTGAACAAGAATGTCTTCGTCTTCAAGCAACAGCCAAGGGGAAACGGAGCATAATAAAGGAGCTCATGAGTATGGTTTATAAAGCAAGATGACAGGGGGTGACCATGTTATCTATGCACAGCACGAGGCAATTTGCCTTTTACCCCGCGCATTGGCGATCGCAAGAACCAACGAGATATGTCTAAAAAGCAGGAATAGAACCAGGCCAAGCTGGGAACAGCAGATATTGGACGCCCCGGCACCATTGTGCAACGAAGACCGGTGGACAAAGTGAGGGGGAAATGCCTCATGGAAAGCAGGTTCTCTCCTCAATGTGCTCCTTGCAAAGGGGTGATAAGAGCAAAAATGACCATGGATGTTGATAGATAAGACGACATATTGAATTGCGGAATAAACAGATATCTTATTCGAGCATGCGAATTGGCCTTACCCCGCAGGCTTGTGATTTGTAGAGAAGGGAGATACCACCGCTCATTCGAGGCTCAGGGCTTCGGCGATCGGAACTACAAGCTTGGTATAGAGAGCTCTAGTCCCAGCAAGGAAACTCCAGGCGTTATATGGAGTACTTCACGGGACTTCTGTGAGAGAGCGTTAGGTACTTCGCAGCAGGTGTGGTTATCATCGTGATAACAAAGATAAGGGCTTGACTCGCCGGGTGTCCCGAGGTCGTTCGAGCTGATCAAGTATGTATCAGGCTTTTCTGAAACTCTTGTCCTTCGAGGCTTGTTATCTAAGGATGGACTTGCCTCGTTGGGCAGAGAAGCTGTGCACTGACTGCTGGAGAACCCCGTTTGATGTATGTATATGTCATGAGTATCAAGTCCACGGTAACAGCGCTATCTACACTAATGCCCTTTGGCTAGCTCGGAACCAAACCATGAGACATTCTGATCTCCGAGGTATATAAGAGTCCAAAGTTCCCAAGAGCTCCAGGTTGTTCAGCCCTATGATTTAAGAGAAGGTCGCATATCGATATTGCAAAATCACACGCGGACCATGAAATACATATTTACTTGGAAACAACTGTTTCTATGTGGCATTAAAAACAGAAAAGACTTTCATCGCTATTCTACACAGTACAGGCCCAGCTTGACTCCCAAAACCCCTGATTCATATCGATCAAAGGGGAGACAGACATATACCCTCGCGAATAATTTAGAAGGGCTAGAAGAAAGTCAGCATCGAACCCAAACCTCCGAACCGTAATTGACTCACGTTGTCCTCAGCGGGGATGCTACGGTCGTAGTAGGTATCGAGGAAAGGAAGCTTGCGGAGGATGTCGTTGCGCACACGGGGAACCTCGCCGAAGAGGAAGAGGGCACCAGAACCAACGGCGACACCGAAGCCAGCAGCGAGGGAACCACTGTTTAGAACGTTATTAGTCCCTGTGTCTTATCCAACCTGGGAGAATCGAGTGCGGGATGTACTCACAGCTGGACGGCTGTGCCAAGGGTCATACCGGCGGTGGTGCGGGGGATGTAGTATCTGCAGATTAGTGAGACGTTAGCTTGGTGTTCCTGTTGTTGGTTTGATCTGCCATCTTCAATATCCAGCTCTTTTGCCAAAGCCCACGCCACGATATTGTAATACCCGCTCCCCACAGATGCCGGACATCCGTCAAGCTCCGCTACGAGAGGATATACGGGCATCCAATAAACAGCAGATTTGCATTGGCGAGTAAAAATCCATGCTTGATTTGCTCCATCCAACATGCTTATTATCGACCAACGTGTGCTGTCCGGGCTCGAGGGAAATGAAAATGGGGAAGTCTCACTTGGGTGCATAGGCGGAGGCCTGGGTCGCGGCGCGGCGAGCAGTAGGGGCAAACTATAGGATATGTGTTAGCAATTGATGTGACATCTTCTATCTCGTCTCATCCCGCAGCTCGGAAGCTGGTTGAAATACTCATGGCCAAATTGTCCTCTACCCGGATCGCGGCCGAGTAGGCAAGGGACTTCGGAATAGAATACGAGGTTTTCTCATCTTCTGGACATGGGATCACTTACCATCTTGAATGACACCGGAGTGATTTGGTGGGACAATTGCTAGGAGACAGGAGCTGGCACTTGGTGGTCGACGAAAACCGGGAGTGCCCGAGTTGACACGTGACTTCAAAGCCAGGCCAATCAGAGGAGGCATAATTGTTTTCGTTTCAATCCTCAAGTATGAATTTATATCGGTCAAGTCAATGATGGAATAGTTGTACTGAGTGAGTCCAGCTTACAATCCATTCATTATTCGTCTTACATCCATTGTTCTTCTGAGAATCAAAAGATATCAAATAACTATCACACCTTGAAGAAAGGCCTGAAACAGATGGCAAAAGAGGAGGCAAATAAGGTAACCATGGCTAACTACTTGTCGATCAGAGAAACTAAGAGGTATAAATAGGTTTATTGATTTAAAACTGGGATGGTTTTTACGGCTCCGGAGAAGCTGATACGCCTAGACTCCAAAAAATCATGTGATGGCTGAAAAGAAATGGAATAAGAAGATATGTGCTTCAAAAAGCCCCTTGGTCTGAGATGCAAGAAATTCAACTGGGACAAGGTTGATCGAACAGGCGCACGAAAGCAAAGTAGCATCAACCAGATACCGTGGAAACAAAAGATTATAAGAACCACGTAGCCAAACACCCTAACTGTACATTTGTTCATTAGTCGACTTTGTCGGTCGAGCCTCCATTCAGGAAACCCTCCTTGCCGTCCAGGTGGAAGAAGCCACCGTTGTTGTTGGTGTTGCCAATGATACCGCCGCGCGCAGCACCACGTCTAAGGCGTCCACGCCCGAAGATGGTAGCTACAGCAACCACGGCACCCAAGATGATGAAGAAGAGCATTGGGTGACTGCTGAGGAGAGATCGAGTGAAGAATAAGATAGTCTCAAAGGTGCCGATGGTAGACTTGGGTGACAACTTTGAAGGGGAAGCGACGACAAGAGGAATGGTCTCGAGAATGGAGGTCCGCGAGGCCATAATAGGAGCTCCGCTTGAAGCAGTATCCCAGTAGCGGCGGTTCTATATGAGGTCAGTTATAGGGCTCGGGCGAATCTCGCGAGGGAAGACTTACATCTTGATCATTGATAATAACGCGGTCACTATTTTCCACATCGATGCCGTAGGTTGTGCGCAGCCAGCGCTCCCAAAAGTCGCCATCAACCCAAGCGAATGCGACTTGCTTCTTGTCGTCCTCGCGGATCGTAATACGCATGTTCTTCGCAGCGCGCAGTGCACGCTGATCATTGCGGTCATCGGCTTCTTCGATACGCAGTTGCTTAGAATCACGAAGTTCAGCCCGCTCAAGACGGAACAATTGAACCTGCTTGTCCATCCATTCAAGAGCGGCTTCCTTCAGCTCGCGCTTAGACTGCTTGAAGTCATCGCTACGGCGGCGGCTGAGGAGTCCCAGAACCACGAACTTTCCATTCATGATTTCTTGCGCATTGGATGCGGTAAGCTCAGGTACGATGGGCAGCCACACAGTCTGCATCCACGACAGGATTTGACGGAAATCTCTCATGTCCTTAGGAGCAAGGGCATTGTAGTAGTTGGGGCGTCCGTCACGGACAACCAGAAGACGAGGCCAGGTAGAGATCTTGAACCGCTCGGAAAGAGCAGCACTGTCAGACTTGACGATGCGAGCATGTCCCACAAGACTGAGGGTGAGGCGGTTCATAGCCTCAAAATCTTCAGATGTAGTCGCGTGGTCGTAGAGATACAGGAACAAAACCTCTTCGGTTTCTTCCAACTGCTTGAAAGTAGTCGCGTCAACATCCTGAATGCTCGAGCCCACGCCGACGGCTTTGTTGGTGTACGCGATCAGATCTCCCAAGCCACGAAGACCGGTATATTCGACTCTCTCACCGCCACGGAAGAAGTAGATCGTCGGGTAGGCATTCACACGAGCATCCTCACACAGTCGCTTCTCAATGTCGCAGTTCACTTCGCCAACATTGAGAGTGTCCTTCATTTCCTTGGCCATCGAGTTCCAGTTCGGGGCCAGAGCCTGGCAATGGTGGCACCAAGGGACGTAAAACTTGATGATCCAGGGATCATGTGTAGTCGTGACGAGAGTTTGGAAGCTCTCAGCAGTGAGTGGGATAGAAACGCCCTGGGGATTAGCAGGCCGTCCTTGGAGCTTGGCCTTGACAGACTCAGGGCTGACGCCTTCCAATTCTGCGGTCTCGATGCTCTGCTTCTCCACAGCTGTTTTCGCGCCAGGCTTTACCACTTCAGGTTTGGCAGTCATTTCCATGCTCTTAGCGCCGGCCTTTGGTATTTGGACGCCTTGCGAAGGTCGGGACCCAGGCTTGATCGTCTCAAGCTTGGCTTCAATCATAGCGGCAATCTCTGACATCGTCTTGGCGCCAACAGGGGGTCCGTTCTGAACGCCCATATCATAGAATGCCCACGCGGGGAAATATTCGACGTTCAACTTCTTGCAGAAATCGCCGAAGGCCAGGCAGTTTATGGACCCGAAATGGAGATTGTAGTAGCCGGTAAATGAGTCCAGAGAGGCGAGCTCATCGGGCTTCAATCCGGAGAGGAATAAGGGATTTGACGTCTACACTAATCAGATTCAAGCCTCAAAAGGTCCAGAACAATGGAATATAGACTCACGTAGTAGTACTCATACAGGGTCTGGTACATTGGAGCGGCCGTCCGGCAATGCGGACAAGAGGGGGAATAATGTTTGATCATCCTAGAATAGTCAGAGTCCTGAGCAGCTTATTGATTGCTGTTGAAGGGGTCCTCACCAGTAACCATCTTTGGTCACCTCCTCGAAATTCTCGGGGGTCAGCTGCGTCAACGGGGGCACTTCAATATTATTGAATGTTGTGGGTGTGTCGGGATCCACTCCACGACCTCCCCTCTTGACAAGTGTATCTCCAGATTCTTGGTCGGGGGAAGCATCTGAAGGCGTGCCCAAAGTAGGCGCTACCAACAGTGATAGGAGGGACCACCCCAGCCAAGACGGTTTCATTTTGGTGGAAGAAAAGGCGGATAACTTGGGTAGCGGTTTAAAAGAGAGTATATGTAGTTTCAAGATTTCTCAGTTGAGCAAAACGAAGGACTCTGGTCGACACAGGGAGGATAATCGCGAAGTGTTACAGGTGACACATTGGACGGGGGCGAAGACTGACGACTCGGGTGGGCACTGGGCACGTCGCAGAAAGAAACAGCACTTAGCGACTATAGCGCCCCGTAGCTGAGAGCAAAGTAGAACTGCACACAGTCCAAACAAAGAACCAGATGTGAGGCTTTGATGGTATCGGAAAAAGGTGAATTGTTGCCTTTCCCCTTGCCGTTTGGGGGTGGAACATTAGGTTAATCCGCTCCGGGCCGACTTCAACACTTCATCTCCCTGGAACAGACCGACCCCAAATATCACCAAGTCCATTCACAATGCGCTCTACACTTCGGCTACTGGCCAATGTCAAGCCCCGGTATTTGGAGCCTTTTGCTCCTACCGGATTGACGGGCCTTTTCACCCACCCCAGCCCTCGCCCTACTTTAATCTACCTTTACTCGACTACTCTGCAGAAGTTGCAGGCCTTCCCCGAATCCTCCGCCTACCGCCAATCTGTTGAAGCTTTGACCCGCCACCGCCTCCAGGTCATTGAATCCCAAAAGCCCGCCGGATTCGATGCCTGGCTGGAGCGTGTGCGGAAGACCGTGGGAGCCGAGCCTGAGCGATTCGCCAAGGTCCAGCGCACCGACGGCACCTACACCCATGCCGCTGCCCAACAGAAGGACGGATCCGACAATCCTCGTGGTGAAGAATGGGATGGCGAAGGCCTCTCAGCCACAACTGAGGGTCCCGCCCGTACCCCGCAACAAGAAGCGGAATGGGCTAAAATCATGAACGAGGCCAGCGAGACCACCGACAAGGCCGAGCGTGACTTCTACCACCAAGATATGAAATGGGAGAGCGAGCCTGCCCTTGATGCCGACCAGTACGTGTACCTGCATAACCGAATTGGCCTCAAACAATTAGATAATAAACGCTAACCTCTTGCGCAGGATCTCTCACGTTGAACAGCAAATCGGCGCCGGACTTATCGAGGAGATCATCCAGGTTGCAGAGGCAGAGCTCAAGCTTGTGGATGAGCTGGCCAAGGCTAAGGTGTAAGTGAAAATTCGGGGTTCGGGGTCTAGACTTACTGCTGACACTTCTACAGGTGGGAGGAACTCGAGGAGAAGCCCCAACCCGGCCAGTGGACTTACTTCGAGCGTGGTAACTAGACAGCCCTTCTGGAATGGCCGTTGATTTTAATCTCTGTAACTACTACTAGAGGTCTCTTTGTTTCAATACAGGTTTTGAGAGTTCAATCATCTGCAGTTCAGGGTAGTCGTGGAGCTACTAGGCTATGATTTCTGTATTCGATAAGTAAACCAACATTACTAATTTAATTCTCTTGGGAAATGGTTGGTGTAATTGAGAGATATCCCTAATATAGTATAGAGGTCATTGGTCTTCTAGTTCCAAGTTTATGTACGGGGAAGCATATCGGAGATATTTGAGCTATTATTTGAGCTATTGCTCTTTTGTCCAAGTTCTTAATTGGACTAAGCTTACATTCTACTAATCTCACACAGCAAAACAGCATAGGTTTTTTCAAATGAATATGTACTCCGTAGGATATTTGTATAGCGGATAGACCGACTGGAAGGCGGTGAGCCAAGGCGGGAATCCCTTGTGGACACATACATTGCTGTCCCTGAATGAAGCGCTCTCCCTCTAGCTCTCCTTCGTCTCAATCCTTTCTTAATTCCTCCAATTAATAACTTGCTCCGAGGATTGCTCCTCCCTATCATCGGGCTGTCTGAGCGGCTCGCGAAATCCCCTATCGCTGTCACAGGCCCAACACCGCATCACAGAACTCGTCTCATCCCCCACACAACATGCGGCTCGACGTCAAGGTACGCAAATGCAGACGATGAAATGATCCATATATTTGCGGATCTGCTCTCCAGCAGATATGACGCTATGATTCCGCAGGTGGACGTCCACAATTGGAGTGGTTGCTGACGATAAATGTTACAGAGACAGCTGTTTGCCCGCTCCGAGCGGGTAAAGGGGATTGATTTCCACCCTACAGAGCCCTGGGTAAGCTTCTACAACCCGCTCGATAGCTTTGCTCAAACTAATTTCTTTCTTAGATCTTGACGACCTTGTATAGCGGTATGTTGAGAGGGGCAGTATGCGAGATGTCCAATGCGCTAATTATTTTCCTGTATAGGCCATGTCTACATCTGGTCTTACGAATCGCAGGTAAGAGTCGACACAGATTCACACTCCCAATACTTGTATCTAAATCGTCTGCCCTCTAGTCCATCATCAAAACCTTCGAACTCACCGATGTCCCCGTTCGTGCCGGTCGATTCATTGCGCGGAAGAACTGGATTGTCTGCGGTTCAGATGACTTCCAGCTCCGGGTCTACAACTACAACACATCCGAAAAGATCACATCCTTTGAAGCGCACCCGGATTACATCCGTTCTATTGCCGTCCACCCGACCCAGCCGTTTGTGCTCACAGCCTCCGATGACATGACAATCAAGCTTTGGGACTGGGAGAAGGGCTGGAAGTGCGTACAAGTGTTCGAAGGCCACAGCCACTATGTTATGGGCATGGCGATCAACCCCAAGGATACCAACACTTTCGCCTCCGCATGCTTGGACCGGACTGTGAAGATCTGGAACCTCGGCTCTCCCCATGCCAACTTCACACTCGAAGCTCACGAGACGAAAGGTGTCAACCATGTCGACTACTACCCACAGGCTGATAAGCCATATATCCTCACCACCTCCGACGACAAGACCGTCAAGATCTGGGACTACACCACGAAAGCACTCATTGCAACTCTCGAGGGCCACACAAGCAATGTCTCATTTGCTTGCTATCACCCCGAACTCCCTGTGATCATCTCTGGCTCTGAAGATGGAACCATTAAGATTTGGCACGCAAACACGTACCGCCTGGAGCAGTCATTAAGCTATGGTCTAGAACGAGCATGGTGTGTTTCCTACCAGCGGGGTAGACAGGGAATTGCGATGGGTTTCGACGATGGTGCTGTTGTGGTGAAGATGGGTCGGGAGGAGCCCGCCGTTTCAATGGATGGGTCTGGTAAGCTTATCTGGGCGAGACACAGTGAAGTCGTGTCGTCAGTGATCAAGGGTGGCGACGCTAGTGTCAAGGACGGCGAGCCCCTTTCTCTACCAACAAAGGATTTGGGACAGTGTGAGGTGTACCCGCAGACTCTGTCACACTCCCCCAACGGACGTTTTGTTTCCGTCTGTGGTGATGGAGAATACATCATCTACACCGCGTTGGCGTGGAGAAACAAGGCATTTGGGCAGGCTCTCGATTTTGCCTGGGGTGCGAAAGACAACAGTAACGATTACGCCATCCGGGAGTCATCGACAAGTGTAAAGATTTTCAAGAACTTCAAGGAGCAGAGCGCCGGTCTTGATGTTGGGTTCCAAGCCGAGGGTCTGTCTGATGGTGTTCTTCTGGGTGTGAAGGGTCAAGGTGGCATTGGGTTCTTTGATTGGGAGACTGGCAGCCTGGTTCGGAGGATTGAAGCTGATCCGAAATCAGTAAGTTGTTTGTTCTGCCGTGATCTTTAGAAATCATGCTAATTGACATCTACAGGTCTACTGGTCCGAATCTGGTGAACTCGTTACCCTCGCCTGTGAAGATGATTTCTACGTTCTTCGCTACTCTCGCGAGGAGTACATCAATGGTCTGAACGCCGGTGAAGCCGACGAGGATGGAGTTGAGGCGGCTGTTGAGTTGGTTGCTACAATCAACGAGACCGTCCGGACTGGACAGTGGGTTGGAGATTGCTTCATCTACACCAACTCTACGAACCGCCTGAACTACCTTGTCGGTGATCAGACCTACACAATCTCACACTTCGATCAGCCCATGTACGTTCTTGGCTACCTGCCCCGGGATGGCCGCATCTACCTTGCCGACAAGGATGTCAACGCTGTCTCCTTTGGCCTTTCTCTCAGCATGGTCGAATATCAAACAGTGGTTCTGCGCGGTGATATGGAAATGGCATCTGAGCTCCTCAAGGATGTGCCTCAAGACCAAATGAACAAGGTCGCCCGCTTCCTCGAAGGCCAAGGATATAAGGAAATGGCCCTGGAAGTCGCCACGGACCCCGAGCACCGCTTTGAGCTGGCCCTTGCACTGAGCGATCTTGAAACCGCACTCAGGATTGCCCGCGAGGCCAACGTCGAGCACAAGTGGAAGATTGTCGGTGACGCCGCCCTGGCCGGCTGGAATCTTGCTCTGGCCCAAGAGTGCTTTACCAACGCCAAGGACGTTGGTTCTTTGCTACTGTTGCACACCGCTAGCAACAACCGTGAAGGCCTCAATGGCCTGGCTGCTCAGGCCTCAGAGTCAGGCCTCCACAATGTCGCCTTCTCGACTCTGTGGTCTTTGGGAGATATTGATGGCTGCATCGCTCTCCTCATCCAGACCAACCGGATCGCCGAGGCTGTCCTTTTCGCCCAGACTTACAAGCCCTCGAGCGCCCCTAAACTTGTTGTCCAATGGAAGGAATCCCTAGAGCAATCTGGCAAGACCAAGGTTGCCCGCCTCATCGGTGTCCCGCCTGGTGCTCCCGCCGTCGCCTCTACCGATGACGACCTTTTCCCCGAGTGGGATGAGTACATTCGCCTAGAGAAGGAAGGTGCTGTGCCCGAGCCCCCTTCCTCCGCGTCCCTGATTGATGTCAACGGCGATGACGATGAAGAGCCCGCCAGTGCGCCCAACGGTACAGTCGAGTCGGCTGAGGAGGCAGAGAAAGCCGAGCAGGCTGCAGTGGACGAGGCCGATGCTGCTGAAGCCGAGTAGACGAACAAAAAGCACCGGGTTTCTGTTTGGTGACTTTCCAGGAGAGTTAGGTTGATCGTTTGTTTTCTGACTGACCAGTCAGTTCATTCTTGATTGCGAGCGGCGTCTTA